ATTTATAGTATACAAGGTGATGTTTTGATATTTAAGGCCATTGTGAAATGATTATGTCAAGTAAAATAATATATCCATCACCTTATATATTTCTTGGTTTCTTTTGTGATACAGCTTTGCTTATGAAGATATTATCTCCTTAAAACGTCTAAACACATACAAATACTAAAAAAGATAACTTTTTATATACTTCGAAATAATTCTGAGAATTTTATTGATAGGTGCATCCTTTACAGAGCACTGTCAAAAGCAGGTGCTCAGTAAACAGCTGTTGATTTAATTTGATTTTTAAAAGTAAGTTTTAACTGAAATTTGATTAAGGATTTGAAGTTACTCAAGAATAAATCTTAGCTATCACAAGATAGTACATTCTTAATAGTTGCGATACCAAGAAACTATAACTGTGTGACTCAGTTTTTTTTTTATTATTAGGATAAGAGTCAGAATATAAATTTTCAAAGTTGTGACTTATTCTAGAATGACCATGTTGGAGGTAGGGAGTGGACAGGTATGTTTGAAATTCACAAATAATTCTTACACATAATTTTGTGATTAGCCCAGTGTTAGGAAAATAGGAAAAAGAGTAGAAAAGAACTGATTTATATCAAGCTGTCTGCCTTTGAGATATTCCTTTTAAGCCTAAAAAGCAATGAATTGAAAGACAAATACTACCAAGACTCATCATAATTGGATTAACAACGCATGAATAATTAATTTCTGGGAGAACAAGTAGTTGATTGTGTCATTGTCTTCCCTCCATGACAATTGCTACAAGATAAGTTTTGGTAAAAAGTTATTTTCTTAGCTCGTTCATCCTTGAAAAAAAGACTGACTTTAAACATTTTTTTCTTTTTCTATTTCTTTGCACTTGACAAGTAAACTAATTTTGTTCTCTCAGAATTGGTCATCATATCTGAATTTTGGATGAGAGATATGATTCATTTTCACAAGATGACCCTGTGACTCAGTAGCAGTGCTCTCAAGATTTCAAACGTGCCATGTGGAATGGAACTAGTAAACTCCTTCAATGCCAGAAAGAAAAAGTCTCTCAGCCTCCCCAAATTGGCTCAATTTGAACTTTAATTTTACTCTTGGCAAGAGTGTGAACTTAAAAACAGTTATCTTTGAAATGGAAAAAGTAAGAACTACACTGTGGAGTCTTAAGTTATTTTAAGGACAACTGTCATTTCAAATGAAAATTTTCAAGTTAGGCTTTCAGGGGGAAATGGCAGCTAATTAATTTTTCAACATTTTGACACACAAGGTCAAATATCAGAAGGGCTACTTTTTGTACCATCTTATAGAAAGGATTTTGTGCCTTTGGGTGTTATCCCCTGAATATGTCCAGGATATCTATTTAATACGAGTATCTTGGCAAAAAGACATTTGATTTCAAATTTTGGTTGAGAGATAAGAGAAGGATTGACCTCTTTCCTCCCACTGCCACCCCACATTCTCCATCCTCAAACTCATCAATAGGAAAGAAGAAAATTATATACACACATAAAGCTATAAGATTAAACTGCAATCTTAGAACCTCAAATTGCTTCATTTATATTACCTTATCTTGTAAAGCCTCGTTAATATTATTAAAATAACATTACTGCTAATATTAAAATGGATTATTTGAGAAATAAAATGATTCATACACTGATTCAGCGAATATTTATCAAATGCCTACTATGTGCTGGGTATTATTCTAGACATTGCTGGTGTAGAAGGGAAGAAACAAAAGTCCTTGCATTCTTAGAGCTTACTTTATAATAGTGGAGACATAAAATAAGCAGATAGAAAATATAAGACACAATGTCATACCATGGTAAGTGTTAAAAAGAAACATGAAGTAGGTTGAGGGAGGGAAGACGCAAAGAGGGTCTTGAGACAGGGTGGCCAGGGAAGGCTTACCTGAGGAGGTGAGAAGCTAAGCAGCTAATTATTTTTCATTTATGTGACAGGCATTTATTGGGCACTCAATATGTGAAGGTCACTATGCTTACTAGAGTGGGGTGTCAGAATAAGACAAGATCCCTGGCTTCTAAGATTTTACAATCTAGCAGAGGGACTGAAACTATATAACATTCAATGCTGTCAATAAAATGTGAGCTGTATAAGAGGCCAGAAAAGGAATTCATTTTTTCAATCCTGATTATTAACGAAGCCCACCAGAATAAGATAGGCCTTGGAGAGCAGGTGGGTGGCTGGGTAGACGTGGGCTTGTTTGCATGGAAAAGGAAACAGTAGAGGTGTGGAAGAGTGCACCATGAATAAAAATCAAGAAACTAGAAACACTACGGGGCCTCAGAGAACAATGAGAATACTGCCTGGGTTGGACAAGAAGAGGGGCTTCTGAAACTTTGCCCCTGAATGCCCCCTAACACTTCAGAAGAGCTGCTGCAAGAAAAAAATTGGTTTGAAACTTGTATCTCATTTTTAACATTCAGGTGAACTGTGCATTCTATCATATAATCCATCTATCTCTATTTATTTATTTATTTATTTGTTTTAGTTGGAGTCTCACTCTGTTGCCCAGGCAGGAGTGCAGTGGCATTTTCATGGCCACCCCAGCGTCAACCTGCTGGGCTCCGATGATCCTTCCGCCTCAGCCTTCCAAGTAGTCGGAACTACAGGAGCATGCTACCATGTCCAGCTAATTTTTGATTTATTGTAGAGAGACAAGGTCTCGCCAAGCTGCCTGGGCTGATCTCGAAGGCACGGGCTCAGGCAATCCACTCGCCTCGGCTTCCCAAAGTGCTGGGATGACAGGCTGAGCCACCAAGCCCAGCCTTTCTTTATTTCAATAGAAAAATATTACCCCCAAACTTTTTGAGTAAAATCAACATTGAAGAAGGTGTACCCTATTAACCCTGCAACTCTCAGTGCCCCTATTGAATATTTGGTTTGGCATTCACATATAATTTTGAAAAGCAAGGATAGATGAATAGAGATAAATAATCCCAAAAAAGTAGATTAGACCCATGTATGACTGGGTCTTGAGTAACAGGCCTTTACATTGAATTTTATCATGAAGGGAATGGAAAACCAGCAAAAGTTTCTCAATAGGGTATTAGCCTTGCTTTTCCATGCAGTTTTCTCCACCTAGAGTGCTTTCATCTCCCAAATCCTACCCATCTTTGGTAGCCCAGTTGAAATACAGTATCAGCCTTCTGTGATTTGGATGCTGGACTTTCGTGACAGTTGATCAGGACTGCTTTAGAGCTCACCACCCTTCACCTTGCATTTCAGCCATTGTATGCTCATGGCTCTATACCCTGCAGCACCAGGGTATAGAGCATATATACAAGAATTGCCTGTAGAATAAACGAAAAAGCCCTAGAGTAGAATGATTAATCTAGCATCTGGATAAAGACTGTACCATGGGTGGGTAGACTAGAGGAGTGAAATTGGTCACGAAGCTGTGACAGTTATTCAAACATGAGGTAGTGAGCACCGGACTAGGAAGCTTTCATTGACTAATTACAGCAAAATGGGAAGGAATTCCTATGTCACACATTGCCGAGGCAGAATCCAAGTGTTTGATTTGCCTGGGGAAGAGAAAGACATCCAGGAGCTGGAATGCTGGTCTATGAACCACATTTGGGAATTCAGGATGAAGACCTGGTGTGGAGGAAAGATGAGAAACTTGGATTTTTGCTATGTTCAGATCTGCTGCTGATAGAGGCATTATATAAAACTGTCCACTGGCATGTGAAAACGACTCAACTCTGGCAAAGATTGTGAACGCAGATGAACTCAAGAGTCATTTGAATGGGAGAGAGTTTGGAACTCGTGGTGGTGTATCAGATCTCTGACTAATACAGCATGAGTGGATAGAGAGGGGTGGAGAAATGGCAATAAGAAATGTTTGTGTAAAAAGGGTGAGAGAAGGAAGGGAATGGAGAGCAGAGCCTAGAGGATGACGGATCAAGGAGGCAAGAAGAGAAACAGGATGGCTGGAAATGAGAGTTTCAAGGAGGACAAGAAAGCCCCCTCCATACAAGGCTAAGGAATAACTCTGGCAGGACAACCAGACAGTTTTAGCGTGGGGGTGTAGAAGGAAGATTTGGGGAGGAGGAAGACAGAACGAGGGTGAAGACACCAAGCCTGTGGTTGCAAATGCTCATTTGAGGCATGGGTGGCCCTAGAAGGAAGGGGAGGCTTAGCATAGGCTGGTAGCCAGAGCTCAGATCATGGAGTGCAAACAGGGTGGTACTAATGCCCCACAATTTGATGTCTACCCTTCCCCAGGCGCCAGGCATTTCATTCTCTGCCCATCCTGACTTGTCCTCAAATTCTTAACCAGCACCCAAGATAGTGACCTCTTTATGACTGTTCTTTCTGTTCAAAATGTATCTGTCCTATGTCCACCTCTTGGGAGTGGCATTTTCCAAGTGTGTTCCACAAATGGTAGTCTTCAAGATACCGTGGATTCCGAGAGAATGGGCTTTGTGGGCTAGCAAGTCTGGAAAATGCCTCAGGGAATGTGAACATGCCAAATGTCCTGTGAAACTTGGACCAAAGAAATTCTTTGGATTTTGTTTAAACTGCCGAACATTATTTACTTATGGACCCGTCTATCTTTTCGTTGTTATTGTTGAAAAACTCTTGGTGGTTTCATGGCACTCATGTGGGGAAACTTTGCTTTAGGGTCATGGTGATGGATTATTAATCTGGACACACATTTGGTACTAATGGTTGTTAAAGCATAATTAACCTTCTGATGGCCAATATTCATGATTTACCAGAAAATTTACTGAGAGGATCCAAGAAAAAGTTTGCTAAGTGTGTTCTACAAATGGCAGTTCTTTGTGATACTCTGGGCTTCGATGGGCGCTGAGGTCTAGCAAGTCCACAAAATGCCACAGGGGTAAATCAGTGTTGTGGTCGAGAAGTGGGGCAACATCTGGAGCAGCATTGTCCCTTAGATTTCTGAAGTCACGCCCTCCAGGTGGGTATTTACACCAACTTAGATCCATAGCTAAATTCTATCTCCTTCTTACCAGAGTCATTTCTGTGTTTCGACCCCAAAACTTCAACCAGTTTTTCGTCCAGCCTGAAGAGTGGAAGGGAGGAGTGCAGCACCGCGATGACATCTTGTGTGCTGCGTGCTTGCCCCCGCAGACTCTCGTCACAGGTGAACTGAACCTTCACAGGACAACCCGTGGTGATGGCTTGATTTGTTTGGGGTCACTCACTTAAAAAACAAAAGGGCTCCCTTCGGTTGCAAAATAAATAGACTTCTTGTTTTAACTTATGAACTATTGTCCATATTTACGGGTCACAACATGATGTTTCGATACATGTATAAACTGTGCAATGATCAAATCAAGGTAATTACCATATTCATCATCTTACATGTGTGTCATTTCTTCAGTTGTGAGAGCATTAAAAAATCTATCTTCTAGCTAATTTGAAATATACAGTACATGATTCTTAACTCTGGTCATCCCACCATGCAAGAGATCACCAGAACCTACTCCTCCTACCTAGTGGCAGCTTCGTACCCTTTAGCCAATCTCTCACCATCACCCTCTTCCCTCCTCTGGCAGCCAGTAATCTACTTGTTACTTCTATGAGAACACATTTGCATGTGAGTGAGATCAAGTGATATTTGTCTTTCTGGGCTTATCTCACTTGACATAATGCCCTCCGGGTTCATCTTCATTCACATTGCAGTAAATGACAGGATTTTATTCTTTTTTGTGACTGAATAGTATTCTGCTGTGTTTATATACCACATTTTCTGTATCCACTAATTCACTGATGGACATTTAGTTGGATTCTATATCTTGGCTGTTGTAAATAATGCTGCAATAAACATGGGGGTGTAAATGTCTCTTCAATATGCTGATTTCATTTTTTTTGGTTGTATACCCAATGGCGAGATTTCTGGATCACATGGTAGTGCTCTCTTTAATTCCATACTGTTTTCCATAATGGCTGTACTAATTGACATTCCCACCAGCAATGTGTAAGTGTTCCCTTTTTTCTACATCCTCACCAATACTTGTTATCTTTTGATTTTTGATAGTAGCCCCTCTGTCTGGAGTGAGATATTATCTCATTATAGTTTTGATTTGTAATTCCCTGATGATTAGTGATGAGCATTTTTTAGTATACCTGTTGGTCATCTGTATGTCTTCTTTTGACAAATGTCTATTAGATCCTTTGCCCATTTAAAAAATCAGGTTATTTGGATTTTTGTTGTTGTTGAGTTGAGTTCCTTAAATATTTTGGATATTAACTCCTCAATTATATTCTCCCCCTTTTTTTTTGGAGTCTCACTCTGTCACCCAGACTGGAGTGCAGTGGTCACTCCCGGCCACTGCAGCTTCGACCTGCTGGGCTCCGGCGATCCTTCCGCCTCAGCCTTCCAAGTAGCTGGAACTACAGGCGCGCGCTACCACGCCTGGCTAATTTTTTGATTTATTGTAGAGATGAGGTCTCACCAAGTTGCCCAAGTCGGTCTCGAACCTGCAGGCTCAGTCAATCCACTCACCTCAGCCTCCCAAAGCGCAGGATTACAGGCTGAGCCACTGAGCCCGGGTATTCTCCCATTTTACGGGTTGTCTCTGCTCTGTTGACTGTTTCCTTTGAAAATGAACAGACCTCTGAATAAACAGTCCTAGCTCCTCCTGTCTATATTTCTAGCATGATCCATAAGTGGCCATGGCCCTCAGTTCCTGGGCCTGGCACTCCGACTTCTCATCCTGGTTCTACTATTAATACTTGCCACAGTGTAATAAATAACCTGATATTGAGCAAGTTATTTAAAAATTAAATCTTAGTTTTCTCTGGCTAATAACATATCTATATTTTGGTTTATACATGCAAGTGTTTAACACTGTGCTTGGCACACAATAAGCTCATCAATAAATATTAACTTTTATTTGTATTGTTCATTTTCCAGAAGTAGCATTAGGGCTGTTAGGTACAAATCACATCTTGGGGACACTTGGCTGTTTCATAATGGGGACATATTAACCCTATGGCATAATTTAGTTCACATAATGCTGGCTAAAGATTGTCCTCACAAAATGTCTGCAAATCCAAGCTCTTAAAATGATCCATAGGCATGCTTTGATGTGACATATTAAAGAGGATAAAAAATTGTTGTGTCATTTCTGTCCAAAGAAAGCAATTTATAGAGACAGATTGCACCATGAAATTTTCAAGTCCATATTTTGACAGGCTAAATTTTTTTTGACAGAACCCAGAATGTCATCAATTAAGAGGAATGAAAATTTACAGAAAAAGATCAAGGATCTCTAAGAAGTGTTACAATATGAGGTCTACTGATCCATCTACATTGAAAGTTCAATTGTTTTTAGGACTTATCTGATTACTTCCCAGTGAGGCCAACTCTAGTTAAGAGGTGTCTTTAACTCCATTGTAAGTCCCTACCCCTGCAGGCAGGATCACATCCTGTAAAGTGATAGGGAGAGTGAACTCTAAGACTGTGTTGGTTGTTACTGTGAAAGTGTCATAAAATACCATTGTGTTGGTGGATAGACAGTCCCTTCACTCATCCTCATCTCATCAGTCCTACATGAAAATGTTTGGCCAAGCTTTTTGCAAGTGAAGCGTTTCAAAAGTGCAGGAGAAGGTGGACACTCCCATGGACAGCTGACACTCCCATGGACTTTCCCTTTGATCAATTTATGGGTTGCACAGGTTGCTCTTTCCAGGATAATATAGGGTTTAGTATCCATTTTTCTGAGCAGAGCCTTGATACTCTGCTCAGAAGGGAGTTGACCTCAGGGAGACACAGTCACTCCCACATAGAACGGGCTTGGTTGGACCTAACCTAACTATTTGGGCTTTTCTCTATTCTCTGTAAAGAGTGGTACCAAAGGACTCTCTGCAGGAAAAATATCAGGACTGGAGAAAGCAATATTCAATAAAGGTTATAGGAGGGAAGGAGTGCAGGGAAGACACGTGCACACACATGCATGTGCATGCGTGCACACATGAAGGGATGTAAAGTTCTCGACTGCTTGCCCTAAATCAATAATTTAAAAAAATAATAATAATCGCCATTTTTTCAGTCCTTATGATGTATTTGGCACTATTCTAGGTACTTTTCATTCTTCACAATAACCCTTCGAGAGAACTACAATTTTAGCCCTGTTTTATAGATGAGAACATTGTGACATCATGTAGTTAGCTAGCAAGCCCGAGGTTGCACGACTGAGTGACAGAGCCAGGACTTGCACTCAGGTCGTTCAACTGCAAAGCCCTTGTTCCGAATGCTCTGTTACCATTCCATAAGAGGAGCTGACAATAATTCCTACACACCTGTTGCACAGGCTGTGCCAAGAGGCTTGTGTGCTCCAAAGTGTGTAAAAATGCTAGTTATTGTGATGCATGTTTCTAAAAATACGGAAGGAGTGCCTACGAGGTGCCAGAAAACAGCTGTAGAAGATGTATTGATAACGACTCCTTCTCATTGCTGCTGACATATTTTCTGTCTTAACCTTCTGGCAATGTCTGTTCTCCATCGTGTCTCGTGTAGGGAGTTATGATGGAGAAATTATTCTGTGGAGCAGCAGCACCGAGAAGGCTTACCATGTCCTCCACCCTGATTATCAGAGACTGCTAAGATCAAACTCAGGTAAGTGTAAGTTGGAGACTCAATGTGGTTCATCGAACCCCGGCAGGCCTGGTTGTTTCTGCACGAGCCTGTGACAGCTTGCTCCTGAATTATAGATGACTGGCTGTGCCTGCAAAGGTTTAGGGATATTGCTGTTTTGTCAGAGTGGCTAAAGAGAGCCTTGAGATTTACGTGGCTTTACGCGTCCTCCTGGCATGTCTGTCTTTGTGCTACATCAGCGTTTCTGAATTACAGACAGCAAGGTACAGGGCTCTCATTTTTATCCAGCTTAAGTTTTGTTTTTTTTTATAGTAAGCCTTGCAAAATTGCCTACGAGTGAAACTTGGGTGCCTCTTGACAAGAAAATGGAGACTCATGTTCACTTGATGGACTGCTCAGGCTCTGTCTGGAGCTTGCATTAAATATTATGCCACCTGGACATCTTGAATATCCTTTGCTTTAGAAACCTACGAGGAGCATTGGATGGGGGTATATTATATTTGATAGGCATTTAGCAGAGCATATGAATATTTTATACCTAAGTAAAATGTCTTGACAATTGTCTTTTACATTTTGTTTTAGTTTCTTCAGAGAGTAAAGATTTTTCCCTAGACTAATTTATTTGGGTAATGAATATGCCATTCCTCATAGCCCAGTGAGGTTCTCTCTGTCAAGTGGATAAACTCACAGAGGCTGAATTGAACCTTACCAAAAGACTGGACATAAGATGCAGGAGTGTGTGTGTGTGTGTGTGTGTGTGTGTGTGTGTGTGTGTGTGTGTGTGTGTATGTATGAGAGAGAGAGAGAGAAGCTGAGGAAGAAATGTAATAAGAGTAAGAAAACCAACTTGAAGAATGTAGGGGTTGCTTGGCTGCAACCAGAAAGCTCTGCCCTGCTCTGTGTAGAAAGAGCTACCCATTCAGATTCATCTAAACTTTCCATGGAGAGGATGGAATTCTGCCTCCTCCTCTATGCTGAACTTCCAAGTCACAGATAAATAAATGAGAGGAGAATAAATAATATTGGATTTATAAAATCCATGAAAGGCAGTACTGCAAATTTCTTGCTTGAAGTTTTGAAAATATTTCTATATAGATTTTCCATAGCTATGTGCAGACTACTCAAAGATTCTGAGATGACTATCCTCAGCTTACTTTCACTCATGTGGCCTGGAGGTGATATCATTCGATAATTGAAGCACCATTAGGAATGTTTGCTCCAGGGCAATTCACTAACAAATAGTATTGTTAAGAAATGATCATTTAATTATATAAAAATAGTCATTAGGTCCCATGTTCATTACAATATCTGCAGGGTTAATTTTAATGCTTGATAGGCTGAAATGCCATGAAACTAGAGTCACACATGTTTGAGCGTGTCAGGATACGTTCTAAGATGTTAGCAGTGACCACAATATGAAGTCCCTGTTAGTACACAGCAAGAGTATATGGAACGTGAGAAACAAGAATGAGATCAAGTAACTCTCCAAGTTGGGGTTGAGAGATAGCAGAGAGGCTTGGTGGGTGTCAACTGGACGTCTGTCATGAGACTTAACAGAGTCATTGAAGACAGTCATGACATGGGCCCACGTTTCACAGGCACTAGTAAGTGAACTGACTCAGAAACAGAAAGCAAACTCTGCGTGTTCTCACTCATATGTGGGAGCTGAATGGTCACAAAGATGGGCATACTAGACACTGAGGGCCCCAATAAGGAGGGGATTGGGAGGGGATATAGGGTTCAGAAATTACCTAAGTGGTATAGCATTCACTCTCTTGAGAATGGGCCAATCCCCACACAATATGTCCATGTAGCAAACATGCATGTGTACCCTCTGAATCTAAAATAAAGACAAAAGAAATAAAAAAGAAAAGCAGATGTTTCTCTTCACTAAGCGCCTGACTTTGTCTCCATCCCAGATGCAGAATCACAGACACTTCTCAGGGATGGAAAAAATGACTCCACCCACCTCATGGCAGACCAGTCCACCACAGGAGCGCACACCCTGGACAGTGACACGGAGGGCAGCAATTCTGTTGTGAGGCTTTGCTTCCTCAAAGCAAGAAAAAACACTGCAATGGCAGGTAAAATATGCATTCGTATTTTGTGTGTATTTAGAAAGGGAGCAGCAAGGAAAGCTCACCCTGTTTATGTCTAGATCTCGGGGAGTTTGACTATCTGCAGCTCACAAGTCAGTGCCAGGTCATGGCAGGCCATGGGCCATGGCAAAGGGGCTCTGGTGGAGGGGGATGATCCAACCACCAGGTTAGATCCCGCTGCTAACGTATCCAGTGCTGTGTTCGTCACGATCAGGGTCACAATAGCTTGGACAGATTTCTTGATATGAGCAACCACTGGAATTGTTGTTCCAGCCATGACATACAGAAGCATCTGTAGGGCAGGGACACTGGAAGACATATGTCCCCAATATGGGAGTCAAAGTACACGCGGTCCACACAAGGCGGGCGAGTGGAGTCTCAGCCCAATGGCCCAGGCACCTGGCACCCAGGCAGGCTGGAAGAAAGGGAGGGGCTGCTTGGAGACTGGAACAGTTGCAGCCTTGGAAGGAACTGCTGATCCCAGGCAAGAATTCCTCTCTATCTTGATTTTGAGCTTGATTTCTGCTCATGCTCTCAAGAACTTCGCCAGTGGTGCAGACTTTCCAGAACAAGCCAGAGTCCTGGTCACATCTTCTGCTGAGACAGTACACCAACACTGGTGCTACTGTATGACTTTCTGCAGCCATTTGCCTCCTTTTTTCTCTGTTGTCAATGGCAACATTCGCATGGTGTTGCTGTGACCTGCATCTTTCCAAAATAAAAATCTGCTTTTGAGATTGATGTACATTATTGAACCTTCACCTAAAATAAGAGTGTATTTTAGAAGTACTTTATTCTTAACATTAGAAATCTAGGCACATATGTGTTGTGTGTTTGAAAAAAGGAATAAACACATCTAAACCATGTTTTCTGTATTTACTTTCCCATATCTGATTTGCAAATGGAAAATCTGCATGGTTTTCATATAAACGTGCTCATCGAGAGTTAATAAGGGCATCCCTGCATAGTTTTAAAATACTCTGGGATATTTGGAATAGACTTGAAGCAGTTAAAGAGTCTAAAAATTTCTTTTTTCCAGAACTCACTTATGCTCACAATATGAACTATTATCTGCAAATTACCCTCATTTCCTCAATACTAATTTTTATTAATGTTATCAGTACTCCCAGATTGTTTTCACTGACGCAGCTACATACCATTATTTCTACCATGAACAGATATGATTGTTAATTGGCAGTACATTTGTGAGGCAAATTGGAAGTCATCTGCAGATTTATCAAATAATAGAAACTTCGCCACAGAAGAATAATTTAGGTGAAGTACTTCTACAAGAGCATAAGAAAATGGAAAATAGAAAGGTTAGTTCTAGGTCTATTAACCAAAAAAACAGGGCTTACAATGATTTAAAAAAATTTTTTTATTCTCCTAACTGAGGTTCATGTATTCAGATGTCCTTACTTTAAAAAGAATTTTGTGGCTTTAGGGTACAGATAGTTTTTGGTGACACGGATGCACCGCATAGTGGCGATAAAGTCTGGGCTTTCAGGGTACCTACCAGCCGGGCTCGGTGGCTCAGGCCGTAATCCCGCGCCTTTGGGAGGCTGAGGTGAGTGGATTGCCTGAGCCTGCGGGTTCGAGACCCGCCTGGGCAACTTGGTGAGACTTCATCTCTACAATAAATCAAAAATCAGCAGGGCGTCGTAGCGTGTGCCTGTAATTCCGGCTACTCAGAAGGCTGAGTCGGAAGAATCACCAGAGCCCAGCGGTCGAGGCTGCAGTGGCCGGGAGTGGCCACTGCACTCCAGTCGGGGCGACAGAGTGAGACTCCAATTCAAAAAAAAAAAAGTGTACCTACCATCCCACCTGTGCACATGGTACCCAGTAGGCGATTTTCATCCCTCCACTCCTTCCCTGCCTCCACTTTCTGACTCTCCAGTGTGCATTATACCATCCTCTCTGCCTTCGTAGCTCCTCAGTGTAGCTCCCACTTATAAGTGAGAACACCCGTGTTTGGTTTTTTGTTCCTGTGCTAGTTCGCTTGGGATGATGTTCTCCAATTCTACCCAAGTTGCTGCAGAAAACATCATTTCATTCTTTTTGATGGCTAAGTAGTCTTCCATCGTGTGTGTATACCATCTTTTCATTATTCACTGATCAGTTGATGGGTATTTTGGATGATTCCACCTCTTTGCAATTGTGAATTGCGCTGCAATGAACAGAGGAATGGAGGTGTCTTTGGGTAGATACCTAGTGGTGGGATTGTTAGATCCCATTGGTAGATCTACTTTTAGTTCTTTGAGAAATCTCCATACTGCTTTCCATAGAGGCTACACTAATTTACATTCCCATCACAGTGTATAAGTGTTTCCTTTTCCCGCATCTATTGGTTTTTTGATTTTTTAATAATGGCCATTCTGACTGGTATAAAGTGTTATCTCGTGGTTTTAATTTACATTTCCCTGATGAATGATTTTAAGCATTTTTTCATATGTTTGTTGGCTATTTGTATATCTTCTTTTGAGAACGTTCATGTCGTTTGCCCACTTTTTAATGGGGTCATTTGCTTCTTTCTCGCTGATTTGCTTGAGCGGTTTGTAGATTCTGGATAGTAAAGTCCTTTGTCAGTTATATCATTTGTGAATATCTTTTTCCATTCTGTAGGTTGCCTATTTACTCTGTTGATGAGGATGATTGATGATGATTTTGCTGGACTGTGCAGAAGCTTATTAGTTTAATAAAGTCCCACTTATTTATTTGTGTTTTTGTTGTGTTTTAGCCATACATTCTTTGCCTAGACTGATGTCCAGAAGGGTCTCTCTTAGGTTTTCTCCTAAGCTTGTCATGGCTTCAGGTCTGACATGTAAGTCTTTAATCCCCCTGGAGTTCATTTTTGTATATGGATATAGGGATCAAGTTTCATTTTCCTGCATGCAGCTATCCAACTTTCCCAGCGCCATTTGTTGAATAGGGTGTCTTTTCCCCAGTGTATGTTTTTGTCTGCTTTGTCAAAGATCAGTTGGTGTCATGTGGGGGTATTTCTGGATTCTCTATTCTGTTCCATTGGTCCATGTGTCTTCTCTTGTATCAGTATCATGCTGTTTTGGTTACTACAGCCTTGTCGTATAACTTGAAGTCAGGTAAGGTGATCCCTTCAGCTTTGCTCTTTTTGCTTAGGATTTATTGGGTTATTTTGGTTCTTTTTGGACCCGTATGAATTTTAGCATTGTTTTTTTCTAATTCTGTGAAAAACTCTATTGGTAGTTTAATAGGGATTGTGTTAAATCTGTAGATTACTTTGGGCAATGTTGTCATTTTAACAATGTTGATTCTTCCAATCTATGTGCATGAAATGTCTCTCCATTTGTTTGTGTCTTCTACAATTTCTTTTCTCAGTGTTTTGTAGTTCTTCTTGTAAGGATCTTTCACTTCCTTGGTTAAATATATTCTTAAGCATTTTAGCTTTTTTTGCTGCTATCATAAAGGGAATTGAGTTTTTTTGTTTTGTTTTGTTTTAAGTGAGAAAGCAGGATTTATTGAAAAGACAGAAAAGCTCCCACAGTGGGAGGGGGAACCTGAAGAATTTGCCCAGAATTGAGTTCTTGATTTGACTATCAGCTTGGTTGCTATTCCTGTGTAACAGTGCTACTGATTTGTGTGTGTTGATTTTGTATCCTGAAACATTACCAAATTTATTTATCAAGTCCAGGTGTCTTTTGGAGGGATCTTTAGGATTCTCTAGATATAAGACCTATCATTGACATACAGAGGTAGTTTGATTTCTTCTTTTCCGATCTGGATATTCTTTACTTCTTTCTCTTGCCTGATTGCTCTGGCTAGGAATTCCAGTGTTATGTTGAGTAGGAGTGGTGAAGGTAGGTATCCCAGCCTTGTTCCAGTTCTGAGAGGGAATGCATTCAACTTTTTTCCATTCAGGATGACATTGGCTGTGGGTTTCTCATACGTAGCTTTTTATTATTTTGATGAATGTTCCCTCTATGCCTATTTTGCTGAGGATATTTTTTTTAATCATGAAGGGATGCTGGATTTTATCAAATGCTTTTTCTGCATCTGTTGAAATGATTGTATGATTTTTGTTTTTAACTCTGCTAATGTGATGGATCACATGCAAGGGAACTATTCTTGCATCCCCGGGATAAATCCTACTTGATCATATTTTTTTGTTTGTTTGTTTGTTTTTCATGCTATTGAATTTGGTTTGCTACTATTCTGCTGACAATTTTCACACCAATGTTCATCATGGATATTGGTCTGTAGTTTTCTTTTTTTGTGTGTATCATTACCTGGCTTTGGTATCAGGGTGATACTGGTTTTGTAGAATGAGTCAGGGAGAATCCCTTCCTCTTCAATCTTATGGAATAGCCAATGAATTATTTTTAAAAATTATTTACTTATTTGTTTTGAAGTGGGATCTCACTATATTGCCTAGCCTGGTCTCGAATTCCTGGGCTCACTCAATCTTCCTGTCTCAGCCTTCCAAAGTGTTGCAACTACAGGTTTGAACCACTGTGCCTAGCCTGAACTTTGATGAAAACAAATTATTTTTTTAAAAAAGCTTGTAAATAGAATTCTAAGCATGCTGCTTGACAGAAATCAATAGCTGAAATCACAACATATATGCATCCAAATCCAGCATGAGGACCAATGGGTTATTAGAGGAGATAGGGATTTTATGTAATGAGGACATTACCATAATGTTGACGTCCATATTTTATAAGTTTATTTGAAAAAACAAATTAATGCTATCTAACTTAAAAAATCATAATAATGAATGAGGGAATGAGAACTAAATGTAATGGAACATTTAAATATCCTACCTAATTTAATGCTCAATGTAAATCAGTGAGGTTGTTGTAAGACGTTCTCCATTCCACATTGGAGAGGTTTAGGGAGGGCTGAAAACTGACCTCAGGGCTGCTCCCTCTCCAACATTTGTGTTGTCTATAGGGCCAGCCATCGAAGAGGTTGTTTCTGACATTTGGTGCTAACAGATCTTCCCTTATATGTTAGGAGGAGCTAACCTGGTGTCATGTGGAGGGTCTGGTTATGTCCGATTCTGGGATACATTTAAGAAGCAACTTCTGAGTGAATCTGTGGCTCACAGGGGAGTCGGACCCATCATTATGTCTACTGATAAGCTGAATCGCTACCTCACCACCGGAGACCACCATGGCTGGCTGAAAATCTGGAATACAGAGGTAAATTGAAACACTTCTCACAATGCCTTTGCTATTTTTGATTACCTCTTGTTCCAGATAACTCTGAATCAGGTCTTGTCTGTTTCCTAAATAAAGGAAGAAATGTTTAGTCTGAGTATTTCAAAGAAAGCATTTACATATGTCAAGCAGAAACTTCTAACTAATTGACTAGGAAAACCAAACCAAAGTTTTCTCAATTTGGAAACCTTCTGTAAATATATAGTCAAGTCAATTATCCAGATTAGAAATGCAATATTATCATAAGGTACTGCAGCATTGTTTGAATCTAAATAGGAATATACCATTTTTTGGAAATGAGATTGCAAACATAATTGAAATACCACAGCACTGGTCCTTCATCTGACGTTATTATGATCCCAACTTAGTTTGGGATTTTTGTATCACTGCTTACCTGCTCAAGTTTCTAATGATATTATCAAGTTGTATATGTAACTACCTATACGGTCAGTTTATTTCTATCAAATAACTGACTTTACAGTTTATTTTTTTCTTTCCATCTGCCTTTCCATAATGTTCTTTCCACCTCCCAAGAAGTCAAATTAACTAGAAATCTGTTTTTTGGTGGTTTTTTTTTTTTTTTTTTTTTTTTGGTAAATGTGAATCACATTTTTCTCACCTCTGTTATGAACATGTCTTGTGCATTTGGATCACAGGTGATTGTTCCCAAATGTACGTTTTTAAAAACTTCTGAATCGGGTTTTTTAAAAAGTGTTAAGTCATTGTCCTCATTGACCCCTTGGATCTTTTAAATTTCGGGTATTGCCCTTTGTTCAGGAGTACTGTCTTAATCCCAGTCAGAACCAAGTCACACAGGCCCCAGCTCTGCTGAGATCGCTCCAGCCTCACGAGGCCCGGGTAAGCTCCCTGGAGATGTGCCAGCAGGGTGGCCATACCCTGGTGGTCTCCTGCTCCGCGGACTGCAGCGTTTGCGTGACTGCCGTCTGCCACGCTCCCGTGTGGATCTTCGGCCAGGTAGAGACTTTGCTTGTTTCTTATTCTTGTGTTTTTTTGGCATTTAGCAAGGACTTGGGCTGGTTTCCGTCTGAATCTCATCAGCCTTCAGTGTCTATTAGTCATGCAGAAACTGCCCTCTGTTTCTGAAGCTGTACCTCCAGGCTTCCCCCAGCCTACTTCCCATTAGCCTTGACAAGTCCCGTCAAGTGGGGCACACCGGAGACCCGGGAAGATGGCACCTCTGTGCGGCTCAAAATATGCCAGGATTTCTGAGAAAAATGTCTCCTCCAAAATATATTACTTCCTTCGGTCTCAGAATTTAGTAAAAATCCGATGTGGATAAAATTAGCATGTTATGAAACAGACAGGTGACTATGACTGCCAATAAATACAGTGATAATTACATGTAGAATATTGAGATGAAACCCCACATCTTTCCATCTGGCTTACTCCTGCCAAGTCTTAGTAGCTAGCAGTTGCTGAGTTTTCTTGCATACACCAGGCCCTGTTGTAAGATCCTGACATGAATCATCTCATTTAGTTTCCACAGTTGCCCATCCATGAGGGAGGAACGCCCATGAGTCCCATTTCACAGATGAGGAAACAGAACACAGAGCTGGAAACATTGCCTGAGCTCACAGAAGCTCATAAGTGGCAGAGTTGGTGTCTGACTGGAGCTGGTCCACTGCAGAGCTCGTGTACCTAACACTTCTTCCTGTGAAGTCAAACTCTGACTCACCCTTGACCCTGAGGTGACACAGACCTGAGGCCTGAAGAAAGGACATGTTCGGTCTCACACTTCTGGCTCTTTCTTCCTCCTGTCTTCTTGGGAACTCTGCCCCAGATCCCTGTGGGTTGTTGGGGCAAAATACACGTGATGGGCTTCAGCCAGCCCTGTTGCAACACGGTGGCCTCAGTCTCTGTCTGGCCAGCTGACTTGGGCGCTGGAGAGTATGGCACTTCTTCTGGTGCTGGACACAGGGTTCGTTGTTCCCGCATGTGCAAAGTCAGTGCGATGCTGTCAGTCTGTGATGAAGGAATTCTCAGCAATCCCTTGGGATGGAGAGGGTGTTGGTGAAGCAGAAAGTCATCTGGGGAGGTGGGCCCACATTTGGCGAGGAGAGAGTCGCCGTGTAACACCCAAGAGCTGCGTCTGCCTCCTCTCTTTTGTAAATAAGGCTGGTGTGAGACGTCCCATCAGTCAGGAAAGCTGCAGCTGGGTGGGAACTCAAGCGGGTGCATGGTGGATGTGTGGCAGGTATGTGGCAGGTGTATGGCGGACGAGACAGGCTGGGAGGGCAGGCATTCAGAGAGGAGGAAGATGGAGCCAGCCTCCGGTCCCCGAAGAAGCCCATATGCTGCTGACGTGGTTCTAGTCCACGTGCTCTGGTGGCATGAGGCAGAGGCTTCAAGGGCAGGCAAAGAAGCAAAGCATCATCAGGTAGGGGCTGTCTGAAGTATGGGACGTTCCATGGACTTCTGGGCTTGAGGCAAGAAGTAAGCCCATTCTAGGTGTCGGTGCCAGATTGACTGTGCTCCCCAAATACAGCCTGTAGCTAAATTTTATCTTAATTGAGAAATGTGTGCTGGTAAAACTCTTCACTCTTATGCCATTGGCACTTTGAATGCGTCGTTTCTATATAAGTCTTTTGTTTTTTTTGAAGGACTCTAACTTCAAAAAGCTCTTAAGAGAATAGTTTTATCATTGTTTTTTCCTTCTGTTCAGGATGGAAGAGTCATCAGAGCTGGGTCAGGCTTAGAAATTAAAGACTGACAAGCTACAGCCAGCTGGGTGTTTGAGTCCCTTCTGCTTGAGTGGCAGCTGCTTCTCCCTCCTTCTTCCTTCCCTCTTTCTTCTGCTTATATCAGGCTGCCTTGACTATAGGTACTGCTAGCCCAAAGTGTACAGAAAAGAGAGGGTAGACCAGGAAGGGAAGTGGAGGGGAGGGGCGGAGGGAGCGGAGAGGAAAGGAAAGGGAGGAGTACATGGTCAGGTCCAGAAAAACCGCAAGATTGTCCTGCTCAAGGAGTGTAAGAAGAAACACATTTTGACAGAAAAAGAACAGGAAGTGATGGCAGGCAAATGGAAATACACAGAGAGGAAGGAGAAAGGGCCCACTTAGTAAATACTGCTAGGATCAAACAATATTTACTAATCAAATTTGATTTGTGCAATGTAGTGACTTTTGCCCTACGCTCGAGTACTGCAGTTGTCTTTTCATTAATACTGGTCTAGTGGTTGTAGGAGGAGAAGCAGCAATGTATTTTAACTTCCTACGTCAAGACTTGATTTTTCAATCACATGCAATCTGAAAGAAGTATTTAAAATTGAGTGCAATATGAATCCTTATATTTCATTTCAAAGGTTTTCCAAAGATAACTTTGAATGAGGCTTATAGCACAGCTGTTGAGCTTAGGATGGTTTTCAAGTTTGAATTCTAAGTCAGTGGTGTGGTCTGTCTCCTAGTGTTGGAGACAGGGCTTGCCGTCCCCACATTTGTGAAGTCGGTGTGGCGATCGGTCTGGGTTGAAGGAATTCTCAGTGATCCCTGGGGATGGAGAGGGTGTTGGTGAAGCAGAAAGTCGTCTGGGGAGGTGGGCCCACATTTGGCGAGGAGAGAGTCGCCGTGTAACACCCAAGAGCTGCGTCAGTCTCTTCTCTTTTGTAAATAAGGCGAACACGCGATGCCTGTCAGTCAGGTAAGCAGCGGATGGGGGATCCATGGTGGACGTGTGGCGGGTGTGTGGCAGGTGGATGGCGGGTGAGGCAGGCTGGGTGGCAGACAGGAAAGGAAGGAATACTTGATTTTTTTTTTTTTGAGTTGGAGTCTCACTCTGTCGCCCAGATTGGAGTGCGGTGGCCGCTCCCGGCCACCGCAGCCTCGACCTGCTGGGCTCCGGCGACCCTTCCGCCTCACCCTTCCGAGTAGCCAG